CCACTTAATTACTACATTTTTTAAGGATATATTTTTCTAATAACACTTGGGGTAAGAATTTCTCAAGATCTCTCTCACTTAAAGCTCAGCCTCTAGCTGTGTGCGTGTGAGAGAGAGAAAGAGACAGAAATTATTTACAAAATTTGGGAGAAAGCAAGAAATGTGTATATGAAAAATGTTGCAAAATAATGAAATGGGAACATACATTTATAAATGTTCATTATTTTTTTTTTACTTATACAGGAGTTGGAAAATAAAAGGCGGCAACAAAAACAGGCTGCAAGCAGCCAAAGTGCTACAGAGGTTCGCTTGAATAGAGCTCTAGAAGAAGCAGAAAAGTATAAACTGGAGTTAAGTAAGTTAAGGCAAGACAGCAAGGTATGGAAAAACTGAAGCTTTATTAGTTATCACCTTTAGTGACCTCGTTTTTTGTGAATGTGTCAAAAATAATAGTTTCACAATTATAATTCTTTTCTATGGCCCTCGGTAGAGTGCCGTAGCGTCACAGCTCTTGGCAACCTCCAACTCCTGGGCTTAGGCAATTCTCTAGCCTGAGCCTCCCGAGTAGCTGGGACTACAGGTGCCCACCACAACACCTGGCTATGTTTTGTTGCAGTTTGGGCAGGGTTGGTTTCAAACCCGCCACCCTTGGTATATGGGGCCGGCGCCCCACCCACTGAGTCACAGGCGCCGCCCTACAATTATAATTATTTTTGGCTGGGGCTGGGTTTGAACCCACCACCTCCAGTATATGGGGCTGGCACCTTAGTCCTTTGAGCCACAGGTGCTGCCCTACAATTGTAATTCTTGATGTCATGATGAACATTTCTATTTTCAGAAGAAATATATTATCAATATGTACATTTTCAACACATTAGGATTATGTGCTTGGCTATTACCATAATTGACTGATAGCAAAACTCTTCAGAAGCTTATTTCTTCATATATCAAATTTTATTAGGTGCCCCTATTATATGCCAGACATTTTTCTAAGCTCTGAGGAATACATGGTGAAAAAAAGTCTTTTGTATTTCAAGTCTTATATTTTCTGAACCTCAATTTTCTAAGATATAAGATGGGGGGCTCTTTTACAGGCAGCAGTTCTCAAACTTGAGCATGTATCAGAATCGCCTCAAGGGCTTGTTAAAACACAGATTAGTTGGTTCTACCTCCAGAATTTCTGATTCAGTAGGTTTGAGGTTAGGCCTGAGAATTTGCAGTTTTATTATGTTCCCAGGTTGATTCTGATGCTATTTGTTCTGAAGCCACATTTTGATAACCACTGTTACAGACTCACTGT